AGGGCTGACCTGGGCAGCCTCACCCTGGCTGCCCCACCCCTGACCAAGCTGGAAATGGATCAGCATTTCTCACGCTTAAACTGCCCTGGCCCTGGGTGCCAAGCAGGTGCAGCAGGCAGGACCAGGGACCAAGCAGAACCATCCCAGACCCTTCCTCTGACTATGGACCCTTCCTCTGACTGTGCTATTCCAGAAGCCTCACCATTAGCACACACTGACCACAACAAGACTCAAAACAGGAGCATGCATTTTCTATGATCAGAACCATCTAAAGATTATGGGGCAGTTTAGGGAGGAGATGAGAATTCTATGCCTGGAGGAGTTTATATAGAATTATATAGTTAGTTATATAGAATTGATCTACATGCCCTAGAGAGTTTGCTCACCTTGAGCTTATATTTAGAAGTTTCTAGACATTGGGCTCCAGGTCCTTCCCCCAAGATACCCCTGAACTCCCTTTGTGAGTTCCTGGCCTGATCCAATACTTTCTGCTCTGCCTGGGCTGCCAGACAGGGCCTCAGGCCTCTGAGGGATACAGGGGGAGCTGGGGAGTAGAGCTGGCCAGCAGAGTGACATGATCTAAGCTCCCCCCACTCACAGTACAGGAGCTGGGAAAGTCTGATGTTACTCTCCTGTTTGCAAGGGTCTACTGGAAAGTAGGAGGTTAAAGGAGGGAGCAGCTGCCAACACAAGGAAAGTATGGGGCCTGTCCCAGCAGGTCATCAAGACTCTGGCATTCTCAGGTACCCAGCCATCCACTCGTGGAAGCTGCCAGCTCAGGGCCAAGACCTGGGCATCAGTGCATATTTGGACACCAGCCACAAGTGCAGAAAGATTCTTCACTGCCTCTGGTCTTCTCTCTGTGCCTCCCTGTCCCAGATTACTCTGTGTGCCACTGCCAGATGGTTGCTGTGTACCCTCTCCTGCTCAAGAGCCCACAGGCTCCCTAATGCCTCAGTCAAGTCCAAATTCATCTGCTGAATTCATGGTAGACTTCCATACCCTAGTTACCTAACTACATCTAACCCTCTGCATGTGAAGACTCTGCCCCAGACGTACCTATTTCATTTGCACCATGATCTCTCCATGCTCCCTGCCAGGAATGCCCTCTTCTTTATCTAGGTTCTGCTCTCTTTCCCTTCTCCCCCATGAAGCCTTCTGTGACCCTTGGGGCCCCAGTTCCTCTCTGAATACTGATTCTGCATACTGTCACACTCCTTTTCATGTGCCTCAATCTTTTTTTTTGTTGTTGTTTGTTTGTTTGTTTTGTGGGGATTACTGGGGATTGAAGTCAAACACTGAGCCACACTCCCAGCACTATTTTGTATTTTACTTAGAAACAGGGTCTCACTGAGTTGCTTAGCACCTTGCTGTTGCTGAGGCTGGCTTTGAACTCATGATCCTTCTGCCTCAGTGCCCCTGATCAGCTAGGATTACCGGCCTGCCCCACTGTGCCTGGCTCATATGCTTCAGTCTTAATCTCCATATCCCATGGACAATACAAACTAAATCATATGTCCCTCAGTGGCCTCGCTAAACAGAACACAGTGCAAGGCACATGGTAGACCTCATCTGAAACTGAATGGCTATTGGATCCAAACTGTGAGTACATGTGTGTTGCACATGAATGTGTGTGCATACACACACAGGCCCCAGGAAGACTGACCATGGGATCTACAGCTCCATGCCCCAGATGGAACGGAACATGCACTTTACTTGCCTTCTTTTCTATTGTAGAAGTTTTTGTGTGTGGGAGGGTGGGTTTTGTTTTGTGGTTCTGGGGATCAAAGCTAGGACCTTGTACCTACTGAGTACACACTCTACCACTGAGTTTCAACCCTAGCCCTTGGTAGCATGGTTTTTGTTTGGTTTTGTTTTGGTATCAAGGATTTAACCCAGAGGCATTTAATCACTGAGCCACATCCCCCAGCCCTTTAGCCCTTTTTATTTTTTTACTTTGAGATTGGCTCCCATAAGAAGCCCAGGCTGGCCTCCAACCTTTGATCCTCCTGCCTTAGCCTCCCCAGCAGCTGGTATTACAGGTGTGCACCACCACACCCCGCTGAAGCTTGTCTACTTCTAAATGTACAGAGTTTACTCAAGCTGTTAATGAAATCCTGATGCTGTAGATCCTATTTGCTATTACTCTGGAATTGCCTATGAGCTCTCAGACCTCAAATTCTGAGACTTCAAAGTCTGTCCCTTTGCTGCAAAGTTCAGGGGTCTGGACAACTCCATCAGGCTTGGTTTTCTGAGAGTGGCATTCAGAGGTCTGGATGCAAGAGAGGCAATGTTACACGAGCTCATAGTGGCCTAAATTCTTTGGGACAAAGAGGGAACCCAGCTCTTGGTGCCTTCAGACCTCTGTGGATTTCTTCCTGTGGACAGTCTAGACACCAGAATTCTCTGGGTTGGAGGTTCTCTGCTAATCACAAGGAAGACAAGTTATTCATTAGCAAGCATCATCATGCAATTCTCATCAACTCCAGGGGAGAGTTCAACTTGGATTAACAACTGGGACACACAGTGTAGACACTCTGTCACAGGAAGTTCTCCCATATGTCTAACCTAAATCCTTCCTGCCACCATTTAAGCCAGTTTCCTCTCATTCTGACCATAGTAGGAGATAGAGACGGCCAGTCATTAGTTTCAGCTTAAGACCCATCACCTACTTGACCATGGCAGTCAGATTCCTCCTTAGCCTTCTCCAAGGATCAGTGACCTGTGTGCTCAAGCAGCTGTTCACAGAGTTGGCACCTGTCCCCAGTTCCTTTCCCCGGTTTCTTTCTCTGTGTATGAGAGTATTTGAAACAGTACTTCCTGGTTCAGGCCTAACCCTTCCTTCCAGGGAGACTGCTGGGGACTAAGGCTAGTCTGAGTAAGCCCTATTCCCAGGTTCCAGCTGCTGGAGAGAGCCAGAGGTGTCGTCCCATCCCCCATGTCTTCCTGGCTTCCTTCAAGGCCTGGGTGGCAGCTGGGATCAGGGATCAGAGATCAGAGGTTGTGTGGGCAAATGAGGAGAGGTCAGAGTTGCTTCTAGGAGATGAGTTGTCCCTCAGCAAGGGAAGGGGGAGGGCACACAAGGATGAGGGACTCCAAGGGGTAGAGATGAGGATGGGTCTTCACTCACAGAGGACCAGAGGCAGAAGAGAGGAGCCAGGTTGAGCAGAAGGTAGGAAGGCTTCCTACCCAGTAAAAGTCACAAAGAGGTTGCAGGGTTGGGGAGGGGGTAGGGGAAAAGACCATGAAGGTTGGCCTGACAAGGGCAGGTAAGAAAGCCTCTCTAGGGAGGAAAAACCTCAGGATAGGGAAGTTATTCCAAGAGGTGGCTGATTCAAACTCAGATCCTGCTCCCCCGCTTTGCTGTGTCCTTCAGCACAGGTTCTCTTGGCCCAGTGACTCCCAGGAGCACCTTTCCCCTGTGCCCTCTCTTCTCCCACCCTGTAAGACCCCTCTGAGTCTTCCGAGCCTTTAGGAATCCAGTCAGGAGGCAAGGACAGGCTGAGGCAAGGACTCTAGCCTGGGGGGGTCTCTACACAGAGGACTGAACCTTCTCCCCGTACACTCCCTGCCAACCCCCAGCCTCCCTGCTCACTGGCTAGGGTGGGGACCGGAAGGAGTAGGGAAGGGGAAGCCAGGGGCTCTGGGAAAGTTGCTGTGAAGGCTGCCATAAACCCCAGCCTCCTCCATGGCTGGAAATACCCGCCCGTGGCTCCTGGCCCCAGCTTTCCAGGCATCCCCTGGGTTTGGCAGATGAAGCTGGGGCAGCTGCTGGGTCACCATCAAGCAAGCCCTTGCAGCCAGGCCTATCTCAGCCTCTGTAGCTGCCAAGTCTTTACGCTGCCCCGCCTCTCTCCCCTTCTCTCCTCCAGGCCAGTGCCCAGGAGACCTGGGGAGAGCTTCCTACCCACCATGAGTCACAGTAAAAAGAAGGTTTCAGGACCCTCAGCTTCTCTCTTGCTCCTACTATCTCTACAGACCAAAGTTATTCTTATGGAGGAGACGGCTGGTCTGCACCAGTTACCTGAGTTCCAGATACCACCCATACTGAGTCTTTAGAGAAAGCCCAGGAGACATGGAACTAGCCTAGGCCCCCAGGCTCCTGGGTGTCTGGAAGAGAGGCAATGGGAGGCACTCCTGGTCTCATGAGAAGCCAGAATACCACTCTGACTCATGTTCAGTGGTCCCACCTACTTGGACATCCTTTATTTGGCACATCTGGGTCATGGGTCTTTAGCCATCAGCCAGTGGACAGTCTAGCCCAGTTAGTGTTCTCTCTTGGTGACACAGGGAAGGTTGACAGTAGCCTCAAAGATCAGGACAATTCAGAAGCAGCCTCTTCGTCTCTCCATGGCCATTGCTCTCAAATACCACCCTCCAGGAGGAGAGGTACCAACTTGAGACTTACTCTTGACCTTGGGGGAGGGTCATCTCTAGAAGGCTAAGGGCACAGGCAATCGTTTTTTACATTTCACATCTTCTCCAAACCCATTCTCAAAACTCCAGTCTCCTCCCTCCAGTCAAGAACTTTGTCACACCCTCTTCCCATGAAAGGTCCTCAAATGGTTGACCTTTTCACACTTTCCTCTCTCTTTCTACCCCTACCCTTTGCTCCTTGTGTCTCATCCCCTATGAATGTTTGTCTTGGGCTCTCCTCTTTCTTCCCCTTCTCCCTGGAATTCATTTGCTGTCAGAGATTACCCCTCTAATCCAAGTCTGCCCTTCCGCTGGCTGCATGTCACCTGAGGGAAAGGAAATAAATTATTATTTATTAGGCCTTGCAAATGGGTAATCTGATATAGTCCCTTGGTCACTCTCCCAGATCACTAGTATTATCTCCATTGCATAGATGAGAAAACTAAGGTTTGGGTTGAGGTAAAATTACAAGACCAAGAACACATGGCTAGGAAGTGCTGGGAGCCAAGTCCCTATCATGTTTATTTACCAGACTGACAAGAAAGGGTGGGCAGAACCCCCATCCCACCTCAGTGCTCCACCCAGCTCAGCCCCCTTGAAATTCTTCAGAACTCAGTGTCCCTCAGTGCCCAAGCCCCTCCCCTTCCTTCTCACAGGGGCCCTCACATTTTATCTTCAGTCACTGTATCCTGTTCCTTCCTTGAACCGCCCCCCCTTCCCAAGCGAGGCCATGGCTAAGTCATCATTTGGTCTCCTTGGCCAGCTTCAGGCCTGACCTATGGGGAACCCACTCTGTCCGCGGGAAAAACCCGGAGCGGGCAGTTCCTTGTAGGGGCTCCCAGGAGAGGTGCCCTAGGCCCCGCAGGGCGCCGCCAGCTGAGCGGGAATCCAGTCCTTAACCGCTGGCGCCCCTCGAGGGGAGGGGCGAAGGCGGAGGTGGTTCTGCGGCGGCATCTGTCCCAGGCGGGCGGGAAGCTGCTGCATTAAATTGTAAAATCGATTTATTGACCGGCAGGTGCGAGCAGCAGCAGATGGAGAGTAGCGCTGCCGGGGCGCATCTGCGGGGAGCGGCGGCATCGATCCTGGCCCCCTTTTGAAACCGTCCGTCCTGGTCCTTTCTGCCGGCTCAATCGCAATTGCAGGGCCAAGGTCCGAGAAACAGTGGCGCCTGAGTGGCTAGGGTAGCTCGACGCCCTTCCCCTACCCCCTCCTGGCTGTAGGGCCTGGGCTGAGCCCCCACGGCTGGCAGACTTTGCCAGCCCCACTGCCCCAGTTGGCACGCGGCGGGTCGGGCTGACGCGTGGCAGCGCCCTGCGGCAGATGAGGCACGCGCCGGCCTCATTTCAATGTGAATGGATCGAATGGAGCAGCCATGTGGCAGCAACAGTTTGCAAATCTCCCCGCCTTCTGTGCAGCTCTCGGGCCGCCGCTCCCTGCACGTGGCCCCTTCTCCGCATCCACCACAGCAGCGCCCCTCAAGGCTTAAGCGCTCCGCCCCAGCCAGGCCTGCTTCCCCGCCCCCAACCTGCCCATCGGGCTCTGTGGCAGGGACCCCACTGTGTTTCTACCCTTTTGCAGTGTGCCGGGTCGAGAGCGATGTTCCCTGGGAGGAATGGAGGGGTGGGGTGGGGAGTAAAACTACTAGAGAACTCGGAGCTGCGCCCACGACTCTGCGCAAGGCTTGTAGGCCACACAGCTGGGAAGAAGTGCAGAGACTACAGGGCTCCGGCTCCGGACGTACTCCAGTGACCCGGGGTCAGTCTGAGTGCACTGCGGAGGGCAACCTTGGTGTTTCCTGGCTCCAGGTGCTAGTTCTGCCAGCTGCGGGAATGATGTGTAGTGGTAGCGCAATAGCCAAGCTGAAAGGACAGCAAAGTAGAAGACCTCTTGGGGCGGGGGCTGTGGGCCTCGGTGTGAAGTCAGGCTTCCACTCTGGTCTGGCTTCCCACGCTGGGCAGGGTCGAGATTGAGGAACTGTGGATCCGAGAAAGACTCGCAGTTAGTGGGAGCCCAGGTTGGTCTGAACCAAGTCGAAGTCCACTCTCCTGGGCGTGGTCAAGCGTCTACATCAGTCATAGGATCAGTAGACTCTGATGAAGAGTCCCCAATCCAAGTGATCTGCGACCTCTTTATCGCCTCCCTGTTTCCTACTCCTTTTTTGAGCCCCAAGAATGCAAATTTCATCCTTCCGCTGGAGTGTGGAAGTGAGGTGTTCCAGAATTGGGGTGTGTGTCCAGAAACATTCAGGCCCATTCACTTGGATTCCCTGCCTGCAGCGCGACCCTTTCGGGTTCAGAAATTGGGCAAAATTCTACCCCAGCAAAATGGAGTGATAGTAGGTACTCAGGGAAAAGGATGGGGTCCTGGCCAGGTAGTGAGCTTTTGGACAACGCCCCATGCAAGCAGGTGTTTCTGGTAAGGAGGAAAATTTACTGTTTTCCTCCCAGGTTCAGAGACTATCTAGAACACTAGAATCCCTTGCAGTGATCCCAACTTTTGTTTGGTCCTTGATCATGGGCAAAACGTTTTGGGGACGTTAGTCCAGGTGTATATGAGGATAGAGAAAGTTCCAGATCTGCCAGTATTGATAGAGATGCCTCCTGGGGAAATGGATGTCTCTCTTGAGGGTCAGGGAAGTGACATATCCAAAAAAAGGATCATGTTTTTATGAACTCCCAGGCCAGGATTTAGGAATGGAAGCGGACAGAGCTAGGTGGGGCTGGATGCCAGCTCAGAGAAGAGCGAGGAGCACCTTCTGGCATCCTAGGCAGGACTAGAGAGCCATAGAGTATTCACAGAGAGAGGATCTGGAAGCCCACTTGCCAGGATTGCCGGGAGGCACACTCTGGGCTCCCCCTCCCTCGGGCCTGGGACTCCGCCTGCCCATAACCTACATTAACTCTCGGAGCAGCCTGGGCCCATCTGCCGGCCCCCGCCCCACCTCGGTTCCCCACGCCAACCCGCTCGCGCCAGATGGTGGCTGGGAGGGGTGGCCGTGCGTGGGGGACCCCGGAGCCTGTCGCCTCACCTCGCCCCTCCCCCAACCCACGCTCCCAACCTCTTGTATCTCATCCTCCCGCCCCCCAATCCTCCACCACCACCACCCGAGTCAAAAAATCAGACCATGCTTGGCATTGGCAGCTGTTGGGCTCCGCGCCGCGCCCCCCTCCCTGGCTGCGGCCTCCCCCGGGCCCGCGACGCGTCCCCGCTCCCCCCGCACTGATCTTATCGTTCGGCGACAGCCATCACTGCGCGGGCGGGCTGACAGCTGAAGCCACAGGGCCCCCGCCGCCCTCAGCGTCGCAAAGAGAGAGAGACCTCCCGGGCACCCTCGAGACTGGGAGAAGCTGGCCCTCGCGGTCTGCGGCCTCCAGGGATCACGCCGGGTTCCGGGAAAGCAGCTGCGCCGCTGCCTCTCGAAGTGAGGCCACCCGGGAGAGTCGCGCGGGCGAGACGAGTGAAGCCGCCCCAAACTCAAACAACTCGGTGCGACTCCAGTTCCACCTCACATCCTGCCCTAAGAAGGAAAGTACTCGGGCCTGCCTGGTCTCAGTCCCTCACCTTGACTCTCCAGTGGCCCGAGTCAACTCTGGAGTCAGGAGAGTTCCTCCCTGCCCCAGCGGAGCTACAGGACGCGGGCGGGGGCTTGGGGTTGCTGGAGTGGGGGGACAGGGTGGGCAGTAGGCGATGGAGCTGAAGCTGGACCCAGGTGAGGGAGGCCCTGAAGGAGGAGTCAGAACCTCATTAGCATACAGCTGAGGACGCGCCCCCCTCCCACCTCGGGGACCACGCCCCGCCTTCCCCCACCTCGGGGACCAAGTGTCTGGGCACTGGCACGAGCCAAGCCCAGGCTGGGGTCAGAAGTGAACAGGCACGCGCTGGGCACGCCCCCGCAGCTAGAGAGGGAGACGCCCACCAGGTATACTTGGAAGACCAGAATCTTAGACGCTTGGCTCCTCGCCTTGCTCCGAGTGGTCACTGAGAGGTTAATGCGTGCGCTGGCTTCTCGGCTGAGCAGGGGACGCTAGGTGGGTGGGCGCTGATAGGTTGGAGGCCGATGAGGCGAGGACTCTCGAAGCTCCGGGAAAGAAAAGAAGGAAATAGAGGTCCTCCGGCTCTGGTTTTCGCTTTCTGGGCTTAAGTTCTTTTTACCTGCTCCAAGACTGCAGGTAAATAGCGCCCGCCGCCGAGGCACCGCCTACGGGGACTCCCTAGTGTCTCCGCCTCCTGGACCATCCGGGAACCACCCGCTGACCCCCCTCTGTTTCCCTCGGCCACCCTCCTATCCTCCGGCAGCCAGGGTCTCAGCCCTTAGCCAGGCGATCATCTCGGCACGAGTAGAGCTGGGGGTGGGGGCCCAGTGTTTCAGAGAGGAACCAAGGGGCGGGGACTTGCGCGCGAATGGCTAGCGGGGGGGAGGGGGCAGCGGGGGCGGAGGCCCCCTCCGGTCGGTGCTGGGACTGTAGCAGCTAGAAGCCCGAAGGGGAGGGGAGAGTGACCATGAGTCTGTCTGAGTGACAGGCGGCGAGCAGAGGAGCCAATATATATAAGGAAGGCTCCGGAGCTCGCAGGTTTCAGTAGCGGCGCTGTGCGCAGGCCGGGAACACGAGGCCGAGAGCCGAAGCTCAAGCCGCTTCGGTGCAGTGTACCTCGGCATCAGCCCACTTGCAGCCCTAGGATTAGCTCGAAGACACGTCCTTATCACTGCCGCCGCCCAGTCGCCCTCACCTGGATTACCTATCGAGGCAGCTGCAACGGAGCTAGGGAGAGGGCGACGAGGGAACAGCATACCAAGAGAAGCCAGTTTTTTCAGGAATCCTGTTGGCTGGAGGACGCGCGGGAAAGCGGCATCCCCAACAGAACCAGGTTCAGGGCCGGCGAGTGGAGAAAGCGACGCCCCAGGGGATGGCAGCCGTGGTTAGGAGCGCCTTTGGCTGGGCGCTACTGCTGCTGGTGGCACTTTGGCAGCAGGTAACGTCCCGCGCCCTCTCCGCCCCCTCCCGCCACGCTCCGGGCCTGAGCCTCGGCGCCCGCTGAGCTGACCGCTCCCCTCCCTCCTTCCCTCGGTCCCTGTGCAATAGCGCGCGGCGGGCGCAGGCGTCTTCCAGCTGCAGCTGCAGGAGTTCGCCAACGAGCGCGGCTTATTGGCCAGTGGGCGGCCGTGTGAGCCCGGTTGCCGGACTTTCTTCCGCGTCTGCCTTAAGCATTACCAAGCTGTCGTCTCTCCCGGGCCCTGCACCTTCGGCAGCGTCTCCACGCCGGTATTGGGCACCAACTCCTTCGCGGTCAAGGATGACAGTAGCGGCGGGGGCCGAAATCCTCTCCAACTGCCCTTCAATTTCACCTGGCCGGTGAGCACAGCCTGGGTGCATTGGGAGGTCACGGAAGCCGAAAGGAGGGAGTGCCCTGGGACCAAAGCCCTCTCCCTAGAATTCCTCCCCGCTTCCTCAGAAACGCCCAGGGACGCATTCTCTCCTGGCCCTTTCTTTTCGATTCTCTCCTGGGATCTCATCCATGGAGAAGGCTCTCACCAGTCTCCGCCTTCCCAGTTTTACGCCCCCCCCCCCAAGCTCTTGGGACACTGTTTGCATTATCTACCACCCTGGCTTAGCAAAAATCACCCCCTACACACCATGGCTTTCACTTACACTCCTCCATCCTTCATCCCTCCCCCTACTCTTGGGTTCTCTTCTCGTTTTCCCAGCTTCTGCGCTACACTGTGGGCAGACCCGTTATGTTGACCCGGGCGCAGTAACTGTATCCTGCAATTAGATTAATTAAATCGGCTGCCACAAGGCACCCCCTTCTCTCTCGCCCTGCTCATCTCACTCTCTCTCTCGGTCCCCCACCCCCTTTCGCTTCCCAGGGTACCTTCTCACTCATCATAGAAGCTTGGCACACGCCTGGAGACGACCTGCGACCAGGTGAGTAGCTCTTCTTCAGCCACAGGGGGGCGACACCGCACAGCGCCGAAAGAGTTAACCTGTTATAGGCGGGGGAAGTGCGGGGTTGGGAGTGGGGGGCAGGACGCTTAGCTTGGCCTGGAGCTGCGCGCCGCGCTGGACGCTCGGATTCCGCTTGCTGCCTGGACTCAGAGCACAATTGCGTTTCCTGAGGGTTATTTTTGGCGTGGGAACGCGGGGAGCACGGCGGTGAGAAAGGCTGAAGCTGCCAGCACCGCTGACGGGCCCCTTCCTGTATTTTACACCTTTCGTGAATTCCGCTCCTTTGGAAAGGGAATAATGGCTTTGGGATGTTGTTCTGACACAGAGGAAAAGGATATTTCAGCAGCACAACAATTCTCACTTTGAAAAGGAAAAAGAAAACCATTACCTACCTCTGGGGGCAGAACCCTTGAATACCAAAGGACCCCCCTGCTCCCAGTCCTTCTTGCCCTGGGAAGCTTTTCTTTTTCTTTCTTTTTTTCCCTCCCGTTTTTTCCACTCTGTCTGCTTTTCCTCTTTCTCCTCCCTATCTGCCTCCAGAACACTGGGATATCCTAACATCCTTCTATTGTCCCCTTTTTGAATGATATCAGGTCCCCTGCACATGCGTACACATAGAGCAGCTGAACAGTAGGACTTGTGTCTCAGGGTCCCTCTGGCCTGTGCTTGCTGGCAAGTGGGGGTCATATGGTCAACTAGGCTGATTTGTTGGCTGACCATTATAATCACAACTGGGGAGAGGGGCACTGGCCAGTAAGTTACCTGCACTCTTGGGACAGGCTGCCTTACCTTGACCTGACCCTCTGTCCTTTCAGAGGCCTTGCCACCAGATGCACTCATCAGCAATATTGCCATCCATGGTTCCCTAGCTGTGGGTCAGAACTGGTTACCATATGAGCAAAACAGCACCCTGACAAGGCTGCGCTACTCTTACCGGGTCATCTGCAGTGACAACTACTATGGAGAAAACTGCTCTCGCCTATGCAAGAAGCGTGATGACCACTTCGGCCACTATGTGTGCCAGCCAGATGGCAGCCTATCCTGCTTGCCCGGTTGGACTGGGGAGTACTGTGATCAGCGTAAGCAGCCAAGCCCCTATAAGTGCATAAGGGAGGTCCCCCAGCAAGCATGGTGAACTTTTCTTGGCTTCTGCCTATCTCCCTCACAGAGCAAGCCTGGTCTACCTACTAGCTAGGCCTCAGGGCCACCTACAGATGCTGAGCAGGGCTTGTGCTCAGACCTCGTCTCTCTTCCTAATCCTCCTCCCCATCATGCCAAAGCCCACAAAGAATCCCCACATTGAATTCCATCCAGCATGGATTCTTTTTCCCTGTGTCATTGTTTCCCTTTGAGAAGACATGGCTTCTCTGGGAGGCTGAGATGGGGAAGTGAGCCCAGGATAGCAGGGGTACCCCCAGGCTTGGAGGGGAGAGTGGAGCATCAGCATCCTTGGTACTCCATCCTCATCCAGCCCTGTCTTTTTTCCTTAGCTATCTGTCTATCTGGCTGCCATGAACAGAACGGCTACTGCAGCAAGCCAGCTGAGTGCCTGTGAGTAAGGGACAGGAAGTGGGGCAGGGAGCCCTTCTTGGCCAGGCCTCTCATCTCATTCTCAGCCTCCTTTTGTCCCACAGCTGTCGCCCAGGTTGGCAGGGTCGTCTGTGCAATGAATGTATCCCCCACAATGGCTGTCACCACGGCACCTGCAGCATCCCCTGGCAGTGTACCTGTGACGAAGGTTGGGGAGGACTGTTCTGTGACCAAGGTGAGTCAGGGAGGGAGAGATGAGGCAGGGACCGGAAATGAGACACAGTGTCTGGACCCTTCTTCCATGGCAGCTGCTAACTTGGCTTTGCCATTGTCCTTCAAGGACCTTGGGACTTTTTAAAGAATCTTTACAACTAGCCTTGAATAAGTTTGTGTGTCCTTCCCCAGGTGCTAGAGAAACCTGGTGGTTAAAGGAGCCAGGAGGGTGACAGATTGGTAGCCTGGAAGTTGCACTCATAAATTCTAGCAAAGCCAAAGGGAAAGAGATGCCAGGCTCAGTTCCTCTTTCTGCCTTGTAGTTACCTATTAACCCTCTGAATGTTTGCTTACCTTGCAAGGCTGTTTGAGCAGCTCTCCCCTAAACAGCTGTCTGGTGGGGTGTGCCCACCAGCCGCTCAGGGCTGTGGCTGAGGTGGGCCTCTGGGTGGAGGGAGTAACATCCAACTGACTTTTCAGTGTGGGTACAAACAACCTCTCCTTCTCCCCCCGTGGCACCTGCCAGGCAGCTGCTTCAGCCCATGCAGTCTCTGCTTGGCATTTGGGGCTAGTCATTCTTCTGACTGTACATGAATCTTTGAGCCCCGACTTTCAGGAAAGGTCTTTCTTTCTACATCCTAGTAGCCAGCTAGAGCGTGTGCCTCCCATTTTCAGAGTCCTTTGGTGTGCCAGAAACACCTTTGCTGCCTCAGAGACACTATACAAGACTGGTTAGAGTGGGGAGGGATTTTCCAGGCTTAAAGAACTTGCCTGGGCCCTGACTTGCTATTGACAAGGGAGCGAAATTAGGTCCCTGTACTGTATTGTGTTTGTATGTGTGTGTATTCCTCTCCTCTCCATTCCCCCAACGCCAACACACACACACCTGGTTCCTACTCATTCTCTCTCCTCTGTCCACATTAGATCCCAGGCGACACAATCATATACTCATCATATGCAAACACAGCCCTCACAGTTTCTATATTTGCTCTGTCTGGTTCTCCCTCCCTACCCTTCCCCAATAAGAAAACAAATACTTACAATTCAAAATACCCTTTTAACACCTCCTCCTTTATAAAATGCTTGATCATTGGGGCTGAGGCTACAGCTCAGTGGCAGAGCACTTGCCTAGCATGTGTAAGACACTGGGTTTTGATCTTTAGCACCACATAAAAATAAACACATAAAATAAAGGCATGCCGTCCATCTACAACTGCAAAAAAATTTTTTTAATTAAAATAAAATGCTTGTCACTACCTACCTATGATAGTTCTTATCTCCCCTGTACCATTTCCACCTGTTGAAATTTTACCCCTTTTCAGGTTTCTCTTGGCTTCTTGCCCTCCATGGAGCCTTTTGTGACTTCTTCCCTGATCCAAGGCCTTGCTCTCCTTTCCTCTGCCTCTTCCTATCTTCACCCTCCTCTGACTGCAAGTGTTTATCAGCTTACCTGGCAGGAAGTTATCCAATTGTTTTATCAGCCTTGATTGATTGCATTGGTCATATTGGTTCCAGGTGCATCAACATACATGATTTCATTGGCAGGGAAGGAACGATAATTGTGCCTGGAAGACTGAGTTGAAGCCTCTTTGGGCCAAACATGGGGATGAATTTGCACTATAAGGA